AGTAAGATAATAAATTGAAGTAATATATGTCAAAGTGCCTCCACCTGAATGGTATCAAGTTTGATGGATGAGAAAACTTAGAGAGTATAAGAACCACTTTCAAATATGTTTTTTTTTAATTTATTTATTTATTTATTTATTGGTACTGGGGATTGAACTCAGATCCTTGCACTTGCGAGGCAGGCAGAAGAACCACTGAGCTAAATCCTCAGCCCTCAAATATCTGTTTTAAAATTAATTTTATTGGTACATTTTAGATATACATAATGACTACATTCATCATAGGGAATTTGTTCCTGTATATAATATATCTTGATTCTTCTTTTTCTTCCATTTTCCTCCCATCTCATCAACTCTTCTTCCCCTCATTTACAAAAGCGTTGTTTCCATTTTTTCTATTCTTTTCTTGTCCCTTCCTTCCTTTCCCCCTCCTTTGTGCCATTTGTCACCACTTCACCATCTTTCCAGAAGTCCTAGAACAATCCTATTGTTTGCTTCAAGAGTTTCCCAGGTCCCTCCTATGTTGCCTACAGCCAGTAGAAATCCGAAAGCAATGAGGTCTAGGCAGGTAGGATGGCTCTCAGCAATGTGTTCAGGGTAAGGACTTTCGAGCCAGGAAAAAGAGAAAAAGAGTCCCTTTCCCTCAAATATCTAAAGCTGTACTGAAAGTTTATCATGCTCAGGAGGAATTACTGTGATAGGATATTTGTGACTTCACAAATTATATTATTACTTCATACTCTAATTCTCTCACTGTCACATACTGACTTCACATTTGACAAAATAACTCAGTCCTCTTCTATTTTAGTCTATTTTTAAGCCTATGTGGCTGAAACACTTCTTATCCTAGCTCCAAAGTTCACTGATCTCAACTCTAGCAATCTTTATACCATCTCTACCTTAGCTCCCTTTTCTTCTTATGAGTTGGGATCACTGTAGCTCTGAATATAACCTTGGGTTCTGTTATAACTACCTATATTTCTTTGAATAGGTCAACTTTGCTTACCTATTGTCCTTTGCTCATTTTCAATACTGCTGGGAATGCCTGGTTCCTCTCCTCTCCTACATTTTAATCCCCAATGCCTAATTCCTGACCTAATACAGGTTTTCTCTGAAGGGTTTTTCCTGATTCCTATCCATGACAGATGAAGTATGTGTGTCATCTCTTTGCTCTGTAGCACAGCAAAACAAGAGCAAAACATGCCACATTATATTAAAATAATTTCATGTTTCTTTTATAAGACTATAAGGACATTGAATGTAAGGACCATATTTTTCATCTCTGTAATCCAACCATCCAGCATGCCAGAAACATAAATATAATAATTACTTAAAAATAAGTTGAATTACTTAAAATATGTTGAATTATAGAAATCATTCTATAGGAGATGTCATCAAAAGAACAAATATTCAAGATCAAAGAGTTCAGAAAAGAAAAAACTAAAACAGTAAAAAAACTTACTGAAGAAATACAATCAGAAAACTTTCTAAATCTGTGGAAGATATACATACCCAGGTACATGAAAGTCAAAGGTCTCAAATCAAATGTAATCTAAATAAGATTACTCAAAGCGGATCATAATGAAACTGTCAAAAATTAAACTCAGGATCTTGGAAGCGAGAGATAAGAAACACACTACATTGAAAGGAGTTCCAATACTGCTTTCAGTGGATTTCTCAGCAAAAGCTACAAGTTAGGAGAGAGACGCGATATATTCAAAGTATGGAAGGAAAAAAATCCTGCCAAGTAACACTGTATCCAGGAAAGCTACCCTTTAGAAATGAAGAGAGCAAGACTTTTTCTGACAATTGAGGGAGTTCATCACAAGTAGATCTATCTTACAAGCAATGTTAAAGGGAGTTCAGTTTGAAAGAAAAGAATACTAATTTGCAACACTAAAACATATAAACATATAAAATTATAAAATTCACTTGTAAATGTGAACACACTAGCTAATTCAGAATACTCTAAAATTTTAATGAGGGTATATAAATCACTCATGTCTTTAATATTAAGGTTAAAAGACAAAGCTAATAAAATAAAAGCTACAATAATTTGTGAACGGGTACACAACATAATTTTTTTTTTCTGGTATGGAGATCGAACTCAGGACCTTGCGCTTGTGAGGCAGGCATGGCCCCACTGAGCTAAATCCCCAGCCCACAGTGTAATATTTACACAATATAAAAAGATGTACTTCATGACATTAAAAACACAATGTGTGGGGAGTAGAATTAAAAGGTTGCATTTTTAATACAACCAACATTAAGTTGTTATCAGCTTAAAACAGCCTATTATAAGATGTTTTATGTTAGCCTCATGGTAACTACAAAGCAAAAACATGATAGACATATAAAAGATAAAATTAAGGAATCAAAGTACACAAGTACAGGAAATCACCTTGTCACAAAGGAAGACAGCAAGGAATGAAAAAAAGAACAGAGCATTCCCACAACACTCCTTACAATAGCTTAAATAAGAAAATGAGTTAAATATACATAATGAAATACAATTAAAAAAATAAAATCCTCTCATTGCAGCAACATGAATGGAACTGCAGGTCATTATGTTAAGTGAAATAAGCCAGACACACAAAGAAAAAATGTTCTCACTCATTTGTGGAAACTAGTCAGGCAATGTGTAGAAGAATGGAATGGGAGAGTTGTGACTAGAAACTGGGAAGAAGGGAGGAAAAGAAGTTAATAAAGGGCATCAACATACATATAGAGTGGAGAAACTACTTCTGGTTCTTCTGTAGCACAGTAGGGTAACTATAGGTTTAAAACAATGTATGATGATATTATTTCAAAATGACTAGAAGAGTATGAAATTCCCAACACATTAAAAAATGACTGATTTTGAAGAGACAGAAGTGATTAAACAGGATTTGATTACTGAATTACCATTATGTACTCCATAAAGCTATACAAATACTATGTCTCAACAAAAACCCAAAGGAAAGAAATCAAAGACCTCTTCTCTGAAAATGACAGCACTTTTAAAAGAGATTGAAGACGATATCAGAAAATGGAAAGATATCCCTTGCTCCTGGGTGCAAAGGATCAATATAGTGAAAATGGCCATACTTCCAAAACTGCTATATAGATTCAGTGCAATCCCAATTCAAATCTCAGCAGCATACTTCACAGACCTTGAGAAAACAATCCAAAGATTCATTTGGAACAAGAAGAGACCCAGAACAGCAAAAGCAATTCTAGATAACAGAGACATGGCAGGGGGTATTACAACCTCCAACTTGAAACTATACTAAAAAGCTACTGTGATAAAAACAGCATGATACTTGCAAAGAAACAGACCTGAGGACCAGTGGAACAGATTAGAAGATGCAGAAACAACTCCAGACACACTCAGCCACCTCATCTTTGACAAAGGAGCCAAACACCCTCACTGGAGGAAAGATAGCCTCTCTAATAAATAGTTCTGGAAAACTTGGGTTTCAACTTGCCAAAGACTACAACTACACCTATATCTCTCACCATGTGCTAAACTAAAATAGAAGTGGGTTGAAGATCTGAATATGAAAACAGAAATGCTGAACCGGCTGGAAGAGAGTTTAGCAAGAACTCTTGAAGATATTGGTGTAGGAAAAGATTTTATGAACAAAACCACAGTTGCCCATGAACTAGCACAAACAATGAACAAGTGGGATCTCTTCTTACTAAAAAGCTTCTGCACAGCAAGAGAAACCACCAGCAGTGTGAAGAGACAACCCACAACGTGGGAAAATATTTTCACCAGCTATCCCTCAGACAAAGGTCTACTATCTCGAATCTATAAAAAACTTTAAAAAAATCAGACCTCCCAAATTGAAAGACCCAATCCAAAAATGGGCATCTGAAATGAACACACATTTCTCAGACAAAGAAGTAGAAATGGCAAATAAACATACGAAAAGATGTTCAACATCACTGGTCATTGGAGAGATGCAAATGAAAACAACACTGAGATTCCACCTCACCCCAGAAAGATGACTGCTATCAAGAAATCAACCAATAACAAATGCTGGTGGGGCTGTGGGGAAAGAGGAACCCTGCTCCACTGCTGGTGGGAGTGTAGACTGGTGCAACCACTGTGGAAATCAGTGTGGAGATACCTCAAAGAACTAGGACTGGAAGTCCCATTTGACCCAGCTATTCCCCTGCTGGGTATCTTTCCCAAAGAATTAAAAGAATCATACCACAGTGATATATGTGCACCCATGTTCATAGCAGCACAGTTTGTAATAGCTAAAACTTGGAAACAGCCCAAATGCCCATCAACTGGAGACTGGATAAAGAAAATGTGGGTTTTTTTTTTTTTTAATAAAATGGAATACTACTCAGCCGTAAAAATAAAAAAATTAGAGACATTTATAGCTAAATGTATGCACATTGAGGTGATACTCTTAAGTGAAATAAATAGGATGCACATGTGTAAAAACCAAATAGTTTCTGTAGTGTGAGAAACTGAAAGTGTAAATAAGGACTAAAAGGTATAATAGATAATATGAAATAGGAAGAAAAGGGGCAAAGGGGAAGGGGAAGTGGGAGGGGTAGGGGAAGGAAAGAAGGGAATGGAATTAATATGAGAAAATGAAAAATGGAAACAAAATCTTAGTATATAGATATGTGCGCACAGGTAATTTGTTAAATATAATAATCAAGATACATCATGTTCAGGTACGAAATCCCAAAGATGAATGTCATTATATTGTATACCTAAAATGTACAATTAAAAAAAAAACGTATATGAGCCAGGTACCAGGAAACATCTCCCCCCCAAAAAACCCCCCCAAAACCCAAAGGAACTGCAAACACCTGGGAAACAACAAAAGGGGAATAGTAGGTCCTTGACTGAAACCTCTATAAACTGTGAGCTCTGAATAAAGTAAACAAGGAATAAGTACTAGGAGCAGGCATGCAAATTAGCACAAATGAATATCATTAGCCTAGGGGACCTGAGTCTTTGATAGCAACTCCCCTTAAAGGGTGCAATTTACCGGTTATGTACCACGTCCAGACTTCTGAGAAATCTGCCAGGTGTAGCATTTGTAACTGTCTAGGGCTAGGCCTGAAATGACAAACATGGATGGGGGTAAGTGGGTGGGTAGTTTCTGTGTTTGCCAGCATAATCATTGCTCCATTGGAGTTGAGACATTTGCAATTTCCTACTACATTTTTTGGTGACTTCATTCCTCAATCTTCGTGAAAAGATTTAAATAAGAAAAATCTTACATATTTATTCATGTAATTACCATTTCCAGTGCTGTTTTATATCTAGATTTCCATCAGGTATCATTTTTCTCCTACGTAGAAGCCCTCCTTTAATACTTTTCATTATGCATATGTCCCGATAAATTCTTTGTATACCTAAAAGATCTTATTTTGACTTTGCTTGTAATATTTTCACTATTAAATTCTAGACTGATATGTTTTTCCTTTGGTACTGCAAGGGATTCCTTTACTGTCTCCTTGCCATATTTTGTAAGAAAAATATGCTGTCATCCTGTTTGTTCCTTTGTACAAAATACATCTTTCTCTTTTGTCTGATTTTGAGATGTTATTTTTATCACTGGTTTGAGAAATATGATTACTATGTGCCTTGATGTATCTTCTTCATGTACATTGTGCTTGAGACATTGATACTTTTGAGTATCCGGGTTTCCAGGTGATGCAATTCCATTCATATGAAATTTTACAACTGTGAAAAAAATTTTCTACAATGATAGAATAGAGAGCAGCAGTTAGGTAGGGCTGGAGGTTGGGGAACTGACAGCAAAGAAACACCAGGAAAATTTGGGATGATGAGAATATGTATTTTATATTCTGATAGTGTTCATGAATATCTGTCAAAACTCATCAAAGTGAACATTTAAAGTTTGTGAACCGAGTGATGCATGCTTCTCAAAGTAATATTTAAAATACACAGTAGAATGTAGTAAATGTTATAATAAAGACAGCTTTAAAAAGTATAGGAAAAGAAAGGAACTAGTAAGATCAGCTCTTGGTAGGTTTATTAGAATTGGTAGTATTCAACCAAGAGCCAGAAGAATGAATCAGATTTCAGTGGACAGTGAAAATGATAAGAAGCCAAAATGGCATACTAATACATGTCCACAGCATGCCTAATTGGAAACGCCCTCGTGGAAAATGTATTTTCAACAGTTTTACTGAAAAGTACTATGTTATGGGGAAAACAGTAACGTTTGTTTTCCACTAAAATGAAGGTTTCCTCCGGCTACCTTTTCAAAAACTGACCTAAAGTAAGTCATGCTGCCTAATTTCCCGGGAGCTGGGAGACAGCGGGACCTCTCCAGCTCCCGCGCAGCCGGCGCGGGCAGGGCCGTGGCCGGCCGGGGCCTCGCTAGCTCACTCCGCTCGGGCGGGGCGGGGCGGGGAGGGGCGGTTGAGGAGCTGGCCTGATCAGTGCAGGTTGAAGGCTGGTAGGAGACTGACATCTCGAGGGAACGTGCGAAGTCGTGTGTAGGGGTGGGAGCTGGCCAGCGCGGCCTGTCTCTAATCTGCACGTGTGCCCTTGAGCACCTGTCCCCAGCTTGTTCCACCCCCTTTCCAAAGCTCCAGTGCTCCCAGGGATGGCCCAGTCTTCTCCTTTCTATGGCGGGGGTGGGAGGTCGCCTCAGGGGAGTTATTTTCAGATTCTTGCTCTCCAGAGCAAAGGATTAAGCCGGACACTCAAAAGCAGTAACAAGAGTGAGATTTACTAAAAATGAAGTAAGTGAAGGAACACTCCACAGGGTGGGTGTCAGAAGAGCTCAGGGCTCTGGGGCCTTTCTTGCTTACCTTTGGTGATACAGGATGGGAAGATGGGAGAGAAATAAGTACACTTGTGTAGTACAAGAATTACAAAGTGAACGTTAAATAAGTGAGAATCTTTCTGGACTGCATGTGCTTTGAGAAACACTTGTGCCTAGGAACTAGGATCTTAGTATGTCTTACGACAGTATTTAAATAGTAGCTTAATAAACGGCTTCACCTGTGCCTTTTAAAAATTGGTAGTGTAGGAGAAACCTGTGTCTATATTGAAATGACTAGCCAGAGATCGAGGGCAGGTTGGATAAATAACCCCCAAGAAATTACACTTAAGTCAAAAACAACAGAAGGAGGTCACTGACTAGCTACTGGATACCACTTCATACCTGACAATATCCAATTCAAGGCATAAAAAAGTGTGAATAAGCCTTGTTAATATTACATGTTCAATTCCTTGCTGAATGCTGTGAATTCCCTTTGAATGAATTCATTTGACTAAGCAAAAATTAGAAAGACTGTTTTCTTAGGTAACCAAAGACCTGAAGAAGACAACTTGGAAATTAGAATTTGTTATCTCCAATAGAATTTTTGTGGAATCTGTAGGATTTTCTACATATAAGGTTATCTGCAAACAGATTCTATGACTTTTTTCTAATTTGGATTTAGATTCTTTCTGTTCTTTCATTTCTTAGTGATTCAGTTTTAGTATATTTTGTCTTTCTACGAATATGATCATTTCATGTGGATTATCTAATTTGTTGGCATATAATTAGTTGATCCTAATACTCTCTTATAATCCTTGTAGTTAGTACTATGTAGAAAGGGTTTCACTTTAATTTCTGATTTCAGCAGTTTAAGCTTTTCTGCTTTTTCCTTAGTGCATTTAGCTAAAAATTTGTCTGTTTTAAAATGAGCAGATTTTGCTTTTATTTTCTGTTGTTGTTGTGCCCAGATCACGAGGTCCCCAAAGACCACCAAGGAGCCGATTCCGATGCAAACACACGAGGGTCGTTTATTCAAGCAGGGACTCTCAACTGTCACCGCGCAGCGGGTCAAGATTGAGAGCCCCGACTCTAAAACACCAGGGGTTTTTATAGAAGTTACAGCAAGGCGTGGGGTTTCAAATCACACGCAAATCACACAATTGGCTAGCATTTAGCAAGTTTTGAAAGTTTAAACCTGATTGGCTGTGCCTTGCGCGCTGAACTGCAAACGGCTGCTCAAGTCATCGAAAAGAACATCTGGGATACTGGGGTATTGGGGTACCTACTGATTAGCTGTCGCAGGCCATGAGAAGAGCATCTGGGACATTGAGGCAGCTACTGATTAGCTGTTGCTAGGCTAGTTGCTAGGGGACTGCTGAACATTATCACAGGCAGGTGGCCAAAGTACATCTTGTGGTTTTTCTTGGAACTAGAATTTATGTCCAGGCCACCTTACTCTAAGAAGGGGCCAAATTTTAAAATGGAGTTACTCGGGTCTCACATTGTCTATTCTCAATCTCCTCTCATCTATTTTTTATTTTCTTCTATTTTTCTCTTTTCTATTTCCTGTTCTTCCAGGTGTAAAGCTTACTGAGGTTGTTCTTTTTAAAATATTTTAATTTATAACAGATTTTCTCTGACCTTTGCTTTTTTGGTACAGGGGATCGAACTTGGGTCCTTGCACTTGCGCAGCAGGTGGTAAAACTCCTGAGCTAAATCCCCGGCCCACCTTTGCTTTTTTGTATCCTATGTGTTTTGGTATGTTGTGATTCCATTTCATTTTTTCAAGAAATTTTCTAATTTCCCTTGTGATTTCTTTTTTGACCTATTAAAAGTACTGTATGTGTTTAACTCCCACATATTTGTGAATTTTCCAGTTTTCCTTTAGTTATTGATTTCTAGTTTTATTACATTTTGTGTGGATGTGTTTATTTTTCGTCACTATGACAAAATACCTGAGGAAAACAACTCAAAGAATGGAAAGTTTATTTTGTCTCATGATTTCAGAACTTTCAGTTCAAAGTACAGAAAAATTGTAACAGAAGGGCATAGCAGAGGAAAGCTACTCACCTGTGGCAGCCAGAAAGGGGAGATAGAGCCAAAGAGCCAGGGCCTCCAGACAAGATACAGTTCACACCCTCAGGACCAACTCTCTTCATCTAGGCCCCACTTCCTAATGGCCCATTCAGCTAAATCCAATCAATTCTTCAAAGCCCATCAGTTTGCCTTTGGGAGACATTTTAAATCTAAAGCATAACAGTGGATAAGGTATTCTGTAGGATTTCAGTATTTTCAAATTTATTGAGGCTTATCTTGTGGCCTAAGAATTGGTGTATACTAGGGAACATTCCATGTGAACTTGATAAAGATGTCTTCTCTGCTGTTGTTGGAGTGTTCTTTATAAGAAGTCTGAGGTCCAGAGGGTTTATGATACTGTCCACGTCTTCTGTTTCTTACTAATCTTGTCTGGCTGTTACTGAAAGTGGTACACTGAAGTCTCCATCTGTTACTCCAGCTGTTTTTAAAAAGTCATTCAGTGTTTTTCATTGTGGCTTTATGTATTGTGTGACTCTTGATGTTGGGATGTATATATTTATAACTGTTATATGTTCTTGATGAATTGACCTTTCTATTAATGTATAATGACCTTTTTCTCTTGAAACATTTTTTACTTGAAGTATATTTTATCTGATATTAGCATGGTATCCCAACTGTATTTGGTTACTATTTGTATGCAATGCTTTAATTTTCAAACTGTTTGTATTTTTAAAGTATCTGTTATGGACAGTGTTTAGTTGTATGATGTTCTAAAAATAAATTTTGGCACTCTGCATATGATTGAAGAGTTTAATATGTTTACATTAAAAGTAATGATTAAAAAAGGACTTATGCCATTTGTTTTCTCTTTGTCTTATAATCTTTGGGCTCACAAACAAGAGACAGAAATGTGTTGCTTTAGAAATTAGTCAAACCTTTCTGTTGATTTACATTTAGGTGTACATAGCCTAGGTAGCAACAAGCTATATATTTAATTTGAAACTGTTTATGTTTTTACTTTTTTTTGGTACTGGGGATCGAACTCGGGTCCTTGCACTTGCGAGGCAGGAGGCGGGACCACTGAACTACTGAACCCCGGCCCCTGTTTATGTTTTTAAACACATCATAAAAATAAACTCAAATTCCCCCCTTATCTAAAAAGAACAGAATACTCTTTTACAGATATTACTAATTGACAGTATCCCATTAAGGGTTTGAAAACAAAACCACTGTAAGCAGGGAAGCTTCATGAACTTTATTTTGAAATCCTATAAGAAGCTAACTGCTCATCTGTTCACAAAAGTGATATTTCTCATATTGCTTTTGGGGGAATCATCCACTTAGACAAGAATCAGAAGAAAATCTCTTTCTCCCTCTTAATTTTATTTTTTCTTATTCTTTGCTAGAGTTTAGCCAAGAGGAAAAAGGAAAACATCCTATTTTAAATTAATTCTTTATTTTGGTTCATGTACTCTAGTTCTCTTTGTCCAAAGTTATGATTACAGCTGAAGCATAAGAATTTTTTTTTTTTGGTACCGGGGATCGAACTCAGGTCCTTGCGCTTGCGCAGCAGGCAGCGAAACCACTGAGCTAAATCCCTGGCCCATAAAAACTTTATTTTAGGCTATGGAAGCAGTACTAACTCACTTCTCAAATCTTGATGTTGATTTAAATTAGATATATTGAATAAAAATTGGGGTGTGTGTGTATGTGTGTGTGTGTGTGTGTGTGTGTGTGTATTTATGGGAAAGTTGATCTGCTCCAGGACTTATGCTATTACACATAACTAGCTGTTAAATATATAACGCTCTTTTTCTTCATCTCCTGTATTACAGTACCATCATTTCTGGACGTTTCTGTTTAAATATTCAGAATACTCAGAAATGAGTCCCTTTCCTCACCCTGATAAATGCTGCTCTTCGGTATTTCTAGGCAAGAAAACAGGAATTTCAACAAATGTCTTTAGCTAATTTCCCAGAGACTTAAGAGATCTTCAAGATACTTACTTTCTTTACTACAATTTAGGAAGTAATGAACATTTTGCTGGGTGCACAGAATCTTCATTTTGTAGACAACAGTATAGTCACTGATGCACTTCACAAGGTTGTAATTGGGAAAGAGCAGTAATGCATTACGTAGCAAGGTCTAGGTGGCATTAGACATTGTAGCTGGAGTTTCTATAAGGATAAGAGTAGTTACATAATAAGAAATAAACTATCACTAAGACAAGTAATCCTCTATCAATGATTAAACCAGTCTCAGGGAATTAAAAATCAAATGATTATATTTGAAGAATAGTAATTACTTCTCAGTGAGTTTGTTCTAATTCATAGGTAGCGATAAGATTTTGTGCTGACAACGTAGAATTTTGAAGTCATTTGGTGAAGTTCTTGGGTTTTCTTTGTGAAAAGAATTTTAACTATTAACTACTTGAATGCTTGTAGTATAATTCAAATTTCCTACTTTGTAAATTAGATTTAGTAAATTGTTATTTTTCTAGAAGTGTAATAGTTTGTTCTAAGTTTACATGCTTATTGGCCCAAATCTGTCATATCCTCTTATATTTCCAATGGTATAACTATACACACACAATGTACATCTACTGCCTTTTTATACTTTGTGTTTTTGTGATCTACTTGCTATCTGAATGATTAGAGGTTCTGCTGGTACTCTATTGTATATTCATTTTCTATTTTGTTAATTTTTATCTTTATTCATTATCCTACTTTAAATATGATGTGCTGCTCTTTATAACTTTTTTTTTTGTTACCAGGGATCGAACTCAGGTCCTTGAGCTTGCAAGGCAGGCAGTGGAACCACTGAGCTAAATTCCCTGCCCCTCTTTATAACTTGTTTTAGTTGGACGGTAAGTTTAGTCTTTACAATGTTAATAGTAATTAAAGCTATAGTTTCCCCCAAATAACTTTCGCTAAAGAGTATTTATGGTACTCTTCAGTTGTAAATATTAAAAAATTTCTATGATTCTTTTGCTCATTAATTATTAAAAGGTGTGCTTTAAAGTTCTCAAGTGCATTCCTTTCCCAGTTATGTTACCAATTTTTAATTGCATAATTGATAATGCATATGTCCTTATATATTAATCTGCATGATATGTTATATGGTCAGTTTGTATAAGGTATCATGCATGTTTGAAACCATCTGGGGTTCTGTGTTCTTATATATAAATTTAAACTCAAGTTTATTAACTGCTTAATAAACTAATGTACTGTTCAATAGGTATCATTAATTGATTTTCTCTACTGCCTTATTCTGGTAGTTCTGACTATGTATACTTCTAGACTATACTGCTTAGGAAGTAAAAGTTTGGAATTCTTACAGCTTTGTGCTCAATTGAATCTGGTGTAATGTTGAGAAGTTCTTTATCTCTAGTAAATGTTTTTTTTTAACCTTAGAGAATATTTTTCTCCTAAGATACAACCACTCCAGTTTTATTTTATGAGTATGTGCACGAGCCCTTTGATGCTTGCTTATTTTCTCCAAAGACACTTGCTCTCAGTTTGTTGGCCTCTGCCAATGTCATACTTTCTTCTCAGTTGATTATTTTTGGCAAAGTATCATTCACAGTGTTTGTTATACTGCTGAGAAGTAGAAGTCTTGTGAGTCCTCACTCTAAATGACTTTTTGCAGCACATTCTTTTCAAAATATGTTTTTAGACTTTCTAAAACAGTGATCCTTTCTTATCCTACCTCAGTTACTCATCTCTAGTACCATAAGTGATAATTCCTCAGAATTTAATTCTTGGTCAAAGTTTACAAATTTACATATTTTCAAGTGAATCTTCCTTATATAACAGTATTTACTTTTGAAGACGTGGGCAAAAACACACAGCTGTTTGGTTTACATAATTTGGGGATTCTTTTGTGAGCATAAGCACTCAGGAATTGCTCTTAAAATTATTTTAGTCTGAGGGTTGGGGATTTAGCTCAGTGGCACTGTGCCTGCCTCACAAGCACAAGGTCCTGAGTTCAATGCCCAGTACCAAAAAAAAAAAGAAAGAATTATTTTAGTCTGGTTTAGAAAGGCTCAAGTCTTGCTCAGAGGCAATATTCATGCTGTAAAGTGTATGAAGGGGTACATAATAAGCCAGTGGTCAGCTGATGCAAGGGATTCTTTTACAACAGGCCAAGAGTTAAGGCAATGAGGTGGGAAGCCTAAGGAGCTCTGCAGCCACAGAAATGGATGAAGAATCTGACCCAGCTCACGTTCATATTTAAAAGTGATTCAAGAAAGGGTAATACAGCTGTACCTCAGTTCATAAGTGCTTTTGTTTGCAAACAATTTGGTTCACAAACAGAAGCATTTGGGAAAAATTTGTTTTTGTTTTCAAACTGTGCATTGGGTGACAAACACGATTGCGGCCATCTTTTCCAAAATTGTAGAACAAATTAAGTTCATGAACCTAGACATCACTGTAATAGTCATTTTTAAAATCTCTTAATAACAATAGTCAATTTGGTAAATACACGCCCAAACCTCATAATCAGAGAAGGAAAAGGAAGAGATGTAAGTCTAAGACTTGGAGAAACTAGGGACAGAGAAAGGAAAACTGGCTTAATTATACGTATATTAGGTACATATAGAATTTCCCTTCTGGAAAATCTTGCTAGGAAACTCAAGTTCTTGTGCCTTTTCACTGAATTACTAAGAGTGACACCATGAAAAATCTTCGCTGATTAGAACTGCAGATTTTCCCCAAGAACTCAAAATTCTCCTCCATTTTTTCTTCTCTTCACCTTACTCCCAAATGGCAAATATCAAGTGATGATTGTTTTAAAGATAAAAACACTCTACTATATTTTATATATAATTTCTTCTGAGTTTATCAAACTTGCCTGTGAAAAGAAAGCTGCTCATTTCTCTTTCTCTCTCTGGCAAATACATTTCAGGGAAAAAATACTCCTAAACTTCCCCAAATCATGTGCAAAACAGATCCCTTAAGTAATGTGATACAGCTCTAGGAGGTAGGAATAGAGAGGAGGCATCGTGTCTGAGGACCTGCATCTCAAGTAGAGTCCCATCACTTCTTTACAAAGATCCTAGATTGAGCATGATGTCTAGGCCCTCAAAATAAGATTAACTTATATCAAGTGCAGGATTTCTCCAAAAACCAACAATGTAATTGACTACAAATGTCCTTACACATCTGCAAGCCTATTACTCATTTATTTATTGCTTGCTGTCTTCCGGAGAAGGGGAAATCTGGTGAGGTTTTTATACTTACTGTTATCTAATAATTGCTCTAGGAGGATACTATAAGTGCCTGAAATGTAGTTGAACAGGACAAGTTTGATACATGCAGAAGTACTTTTAGAAAACAGGAAGCTCATCAGGTATGTGAGGAGAATGGCAGACCAGCCATACAATACAAGGATCAGCATTGTTTCCAGAAAGTGGTAATCCATGATGTAAATATTAATTTTATGGTATTTGAATATTCCCTGAAACACAGGGTAGAAGGTAGTGAGATAAAAACAAGGTGAAGGGTAAGTACAAACATAAACCAAGCCAGAATATTCAGAGAAGAAAATAGCAAGTACTACCTTAATTTAGCATGGAAGTATTCATTATTTAAGTTAGTCTGCCTCATAAGGAAAAAATCAGAGGCTATGAGCATAAATTAAGATGCCTGCACCTCTTTTTCACTGGAGTATCTTCTAGTGAGCAGAACTACTATCATCTTTTAATTATTTTGCTTTCTACTTGGAACAGTGATTTAAAAAAACTTATACACAAAGTCTATATATTTTCTCCTAATAGTATTAGCTATAAACTAACTTTTCCAGAAAGTAGATCATTTCTCTTAAGAGATACTATTTCTCTAAAGATTTTCTTGTGATTTCAGAACCTATCTATCACTGTTATCCATTACCTTACAATTACTCTTTCTGATTCCAGTCTACTCCTCACATCCACCTATTTGAGGCCCTCCTTCTTAAATTTTTTTTTTTTTTTTTGGTACGGGGGATGGAACTCAGGATCTTGCATTTGCCAGGAAGGTGCAGCGCCACTGAGCTATATCCTTGGCCCCTTCTTAAATATTTGTAATTAAAATTGAAAATCAGATGGTGAAACGCAAAGAGGGACCTAAGTTAGAATGGATGATGGTGAAGAGGAACCTGAAAGCTGTTAAAGGAAACAAATTTCTGAAAATCTTTTATCTCATTGGCTAGTAATTATGATTTCTCCATAAATGGCAGAAGTGTCCCTTTGGGTCATTACATGATTATGCAGCAGTAAAACCAAGAAGCACATAATAAGAGTAATCTCAGAACAGTCATTATACAATTGATGACTGATGTTCTTGGAGGTCGTAACAATAGCAATAGGGAAGATTAACAGATCATAGTTGAATTCAATACCTATAGCTATGATTGTTTTGTTTCTGACTAAGCATGTTGTAAACCTAAACAGAATTAATACACTGAGGTGTACACTGGGGTGACCTAGGAATTCATGGGTTTAAAGACATATAGTTCTTCAAAACTGCAAATCATCATCCATTTTCAAGGAAAAGCCAATTCCTCATTGGATAAATAAGCAAAATGTATTCTTCTTAGACTTAAAACCATAAACTGTGAATAGATTCTAGCCAAATTAATGTATAAATTAAGATGCAAACAAAAATTTCAAGTATTTTAAACCTCATTATGATATATAAAACATTTATAAAAGTACACATAACACAAATGAATGATCACAATAAATTATTACAAAGCAACACTCTGGACCATTACCACAATGCCAGCACGCAACGAATACTATCATAATACACTCCTACAACCCCATGTAAGTGTAACCACTATTCTGACTTTTATCATAAGTAACTATATTCTTTTCTTTATGTTTCCTAACAGTATGATCACATAGGCCAGAATCCCTGTTAAAATTTAGTATTGCTGTACTTTGAGGTTTTTATGAATTATACAATATGTATCCCTTTGTATCTGGCTTCTTTCACTCAATATTAAGTGTGTTAAGATTCATTCATGTTGATTACAGTCCTAGTTTAATTTTTATTGTTGCAATATAATTTCATCCTGATTACATTAAAATTTATCAATTTTACTATTCTCAAACTGGCATAAAAAAGTAGCAGACTTGGCAGCTTGCACAACAGAAATTCATTTTTTTTTCACAGTTCTGGATGCTAGAAGTCCAAGATCCAGGTGTTGGAAGACTGGTGTCCCCTGAGGCCTCTCTTCTTGGTTTGCAGATGACCTCCTTCTCCCCATATCGACGTGCAGTCTTCCTGCTGTGCATGTGCAACCTTTCTGTCTCTTTGTGTGTTCAAATTTCCTTTTCTTTTAAGGAGGCCAGTCAGATTGGATTAGTATCTACACTACTGACCTCATTTTAACTTAGTCACCTCTTTAAAGTCTCTACCTTCAAATATAGTCATATTCTAAGACATCAGAGGTTAGGGCTTCAACATAAGAATTTTGTGGGGACACATTTCATCTTATAACTACGATAAATGATTCTGATGATTTTTCTCATTTATACTTTTTGTACAAATGATTCTATTGGGTACAGAACAAGGGCTAGGGGTATCATGTGTGAGTTTGCATGGTAGCCTGCGCTGTGTCTGAACATAGCATGTACTTTTATTTTTGCTTTTACCCTTTTTTTCTTTGTTTGGCCAAGTTCACTCTGCAGAGCTGGTTTCTCTCATACCTGTGTACCCCGCACTTTTCAAGTAAACTTTTTGGCATCATTAGGAGGAAAAAAAAAAAAAGGAGTGGGATAACTTGGTCACAGGTTATTTCACTTGAGAATATAAAACTGTTTTCCAAAAGCTAATGTTGTTCCACATCATTGTCAATATTTACTATTTTCATTTTCTAATATTTGTAATCCTGGCAGATATATATTATCTCATTGTGAGTTTTCTGTTTTTGTTTTATGGTACTAGAGACTGAACCTAGGGCCTTTGCATTGAGTTATATCCCTAATCCTTTTTTTTTATATAGGGTTTCACTAAGTCATTAAGTTGTCCAGGCTGGGATCGAACATGAGATTCTCCTGCTTCCACCTCCCAGAGTGCTGGTATTACAGAGATGCACCTTTATGCCAGTTTTTAAGTGCTCATTATCTTGATAAATTTTCATAAAGTTAGAAACTTTTAAAAATATGTATTTCTATACCCTTTTTTATGTTGTGACCATTTTTGCCTGTGGCTGTTATTCTATTGCATTCTTGTTTGTCCAATGTCTTCTCCCATGCTGTAGCTTGCCTTTCCAATCCATTAATGCTTGTGCTCACTTCGGCAGCACATATACCAATCCATTGATGGTGTCTATTGATGAAATAAATTTTTGGGTGAATGAATTTATCCATTCTTCTTCACAGTTAGTTCCTGAATACTGTGCTTAAAAAAAGTTTCCAACATCAAAGAAATGGCCATATTCTACTATTTCATCTACCAGTACCTTTGTAATTTTTTAAATGCCAAGATAAAAACAATTTGTTACAGGAAGAAGAAAAATTTCTCATCTGAAATATAGAAATCTGTACAACTTTGCCAAGTCAACATGCATGAACTGTACAAATTTAATTTACCAAATAAAAGACAATTAATGGACCGGGGATTTAGCTCAGTGGTGTCAGCGCCTGCGTGGCAAGCCAAGGTCCTGAGTTTGATACCTGGTGTGAAAAAAAAAAAAGATGATTAACAAAGTTCACAAAATAGATGATGATTTGTGGGAAAGACCTTTACCCAATTAAGTACAAGGAAAGTTACAAACCAGACTTCCACTTTCTAAAAATAAAAAATATACTCTGTCTTAGAAAACTACAAGCTAGCAAAGGTACAGAGAGCTGGCTGGTACTAACACCACAGTTGAGACAGTGTCTATTTATTTATTTATTATTTTTTGGTACCGGGAATGGAACTCGGGTCTTTGCGCTTGCACAGCAGGTGGCAAAATCACTGAGCTAAATCCCCGGCCCCTCTTTCCTTTTTCTGATAAGGTTTGAGCCACCTCTTCTGACCAGACTCCACCTCCTAACAGCAAGTCAGCTATAGCAACACTATGATCCAATCACCTTCCCCAAATCCAACCTCTGAACCTCTCTGGGGGACATTCAAGATCTAAACCATAACACTTGTGAAATTTTCTAAAGTGTCAACAACACTTGGATATATACTGTGAATTTGAAGAAAAGAAACACTGGCAACTTTGTAAATGATTGTAAATGTGTTTTTCCCTAGATAGACAGCTGGCATAGATACTGAAATGAAGTTTTCCAAAAGACAGTATTAATTTTTCTTCCCATTATGTAAGCCCAGTGTTCTAAAAAGGAAATCTCTTCCTCTCCTGAAAGTGATTCTTGCAACATATGGAAGAATCGTGTATGACTACAGAGGAGGAATGTGATAAGATTTAAATGTAGACTTTTGCATAATATAGTTATTCAATGAGAAATAATACTAATTCTGGAAAACTGAGTAAACTTCAAGGTACATCATTCTGAAATAACAAATGGACCAAAAGTTAGTACAAGTGAGAAGGGTCAGACCACAGAAAAATCAGTAAGATCACCAGGAGTGGGTGGATGCATAGGTGTAGGTGAAAATTCATCTCTTCAATTATCAAGATAAAAGCTGTAGGAACTTATTATATGCTCAAGGATAACCCCTGTTCCTGAAGGAGCTCGAATCCTAGTTGAGGAAACGTATGTATTTACACTAAGTACAAATTCAGTGATAGAAATATGTTCAGTGTATTTATGGGAGAATTAAAAAAGAAAGGAGTGTGCATACTTAGGAGAGACAATGTAGAGTAATAGCATTAATTGTAAAGAGCAACAGTAAGGCAGGTGAGAGGGTTAGGGAGATGGAGATTACACAAAGGAAGAAAAATTAAGTTTAAAATTGTACCAAAAATATTTTGTAATGGCTTTAAATATACTGCTAAGCCTACATCAGCATCAGCTTCAGCCCACACTGAGTCAGTAACCCAAGGGACGCTGACACATGTGGAAGTAGTGAGGAAGTGTCAGGACAGAATGAAGAGATACCTACAACTCTACTTAACCAGCCAGTGGTCTTCCATACATTTTCCATTGAAAACCATCGGTATCACTACTTTGGTCCTTTCCCTCAACATCAGAAATACTAAGTTCAGAGCATTATTTCTCCTCCTTGAGTGCTATTACCAGAATCTTCTTCAGTAATTGCACATGTCCTAAAATCTGACTCACCCTGCCTAAGCCTTAGAATTATTTTTGGATCTAGAATTAGAAGACAAATTAGGAGGTTCACTCAAAAGAAAGGAAATTTTTCATGCTGTGTTCCCTGTTAGTGAAGAGATGCATCAGCTTTGTTGCATCAGGTGTTCTGACCCAGGGAATGTGTCTTTACTTCAGCATCATCTGCAGGGCTAGAGACAGATGCAATGTCAGTTACAGTAGCAAAGTTATTATCAATGCTTCCTATAATTCAAGTTTATGAATAAGACCTCATAGGTTGGAAATACATTTCTGTCCTCGTCAACACAAAGCAAGGACTATGAAGTCAGTTAAATGCACAGACACTGAAGTTAGTTAGATTTATATTCAAGCCTCACCATGTACAAGCAGCATGATCTTGAGTAAGTTAGATTCTTCACTTACTAAATAAAATAATGATATTTCTACTTTGTTAAATCTCAGGATACTGGAAGTACAATCATAAAGTTTCTACATAAAATTTTCTCACCTTAAGTGGCAGAGGATCATTGCTATTTTGGAAGTCATGGTCAAAAACAATAGCAGCCAGAACCTTTTTAGAGTAATTAATCTGGCTTAACGTAATTGTCAAAATCTCTTTCTGAAGAAAAGCCTACGACTGCAGAGACAGAGAGAGAGAAAAATCTAATTTGTGGGTTGATCACAGCCCTTCCCATCTGTAAGCGGGAAACAATCTGGATGAATGGCTATAAATATGTTATAAATGTCAAAACATTTTTTGAGGAGGGAGAATTGAGAGTTTGAGGCCAGTCTGTACAACACAGAGAGACCCTGTCTCAAAAAAAAAAAAATGTGAGGGGAGAGAAAGAGGAGGAGGAGAAGGAGAATGAGAAATATATGAAGCCCATACAAACATAAAACATTTATCAAAATATACCACATACTAATCACAGAAAATTCTCAAAATTTCAAAAAACTGAACTCATTAAATGATTAATGGTTAAAGGGAAATTACAGTAGAAATCAATAACAAAAACATACCACAAACCTTCAAATGTTTGGAATTTAAAGCAACACATTTCTAAAAATTTTGGAATGCATGAAAGAAGAAACAGAGTTGAAATTAAATATTTTGGATAACCCAAAATTATTGGTAACTGTTGGTATACTTGTATTACATATTTCAAAAATTATTAAGGAATGAGGCATTATTCTGCTTCAGTATTTATTTTAAGTAAGAAATGTCTTTAGACAGCATCTACTCTCCAGGACTTTCAAATCCCTTGAGGCAAAATAATTGAAAAATACATGACTAAATAACTGTGTATGTGTGTACACATGTCTATGTTTATATAAAAGAAGAAGGTCTCTAGAGAGCTGTCCACAAAACTTTTGACAATGTTTATGTCTGGGAGAAAGAGGAGAGAAATTGGTTTGAGAATGCGAACGTAAATGAAGAATTGGAAACTGTTAAAATAATTCTGCCCATCTTTCTGAAGCACTTTATTATGGTTGGATATAGTTTGAGTATGTTGCTCAAAAGTCTGTTATGACAGAAGCTTGGTCCTCAGTTATGGTAATGTTGAGGTGGTAAAATCTTTAAGAGGTAGGTCTAGGATAATTAGATTACTAATGCCACCATCCTTGGAAGGGATTAACACGGTTTTCACAGAACTCTGGCTGGTTCCTATGACAGTGGGTTGTTAGGAAAAGAACAGGCCTGTCCCTGAATCTCTCTAGGTTCCTGTATCTCCGTGTGCTCTATTTGTCTCAAACATGCCTCCACGCTTCACCAAATGTACCCAGGGAAAACCTGTGATGTAGCCAAGGAGATCCTCACTGGATGCTAAATAAACAGGGCCACTCATTCTTGGATATTCAATCTAAAACTGTGTGCTAAATAAATCTCTTTTCTTTATAGATTATTAGCTTGAGTTATTATAGTAACCTAAAACAGACTAAGATACAATCTATGATTTGTGTAATATATTTATATGAACAATGTTTTAAATAACTGACTACTGAGTATGCATTCAGAAGAAAGACTTGTGCTTATCCTGTGTCTTTGTGTATTTGTTACATACCATCATATTCTTGGAAGTCATACTTACATAGGTTTTAGAAAAACAACAAGAAACAAAAAGACTTACTATTTGTTCAGGACTCTTCAAGGGAAATTTTTATATGAATTTAACTCTTGAGTTTAACAAAGTTTATAATATTGTACTTAGGGCATTAATACCTGGTTATGTAACTATCCCACAGTGTTTTACATGGAAGACAATTGTCTAGCTAAAAGGGTTTTAAGTAAGTCTTTGCTAAAACAATTTAATAATATGTGTTTTCAGAAAACTTCAGTTTCTAACCTTGCATATTGGTGTTTAAGTCCTTTTTCACGTTTTCAACAATATTCTGTACCACAACACTTTTGGAAGGCACGTAAGCCAATTCCCAAGGATAAGGAAAAGCGATGGGTGCTCTGATGAATGAAGGTACATGACTGACAGGAAAAGCAGTATAACTGAAAGGTCCAACCTTCCCTGAAAGAAGAATATTGCATAGTCCCAAAAATGAAATACCAAACATAACTGTTATGAGTATCTCCCCAACTAAAGCCATAGATTTCCACCTCTAGAAGGGTAAAAAAAAAAAAAAGATTATATTAATTTTCCTGTCATTAAATTTACAATGGCTAATAATTTTATATTAACATATACCCCATAATGAAAACATACATGGTCAGTAAACATTGCTTCACTTTGATAGTAGCAATTTCATGGACTTTTTCTCCTTTCTATGTGGCACTGTGCTGTTATTTCACTCTGTAAAAAGTCTATGTGTAGAACAGATAGGTCCAACCCCAGAAATGAGAAAAGTAAAACAACATAAATTAAAATGAAGTGCTCAGGCTGTCAGAATTTCCCCTGGTGGCCTTTGAACTACTGAACTATATATAGTTCAACTTAACTCTGTATATATACTTACATATATTTTATATATACTTACATATATATGTTTTATATATATAGTTCAACTTACCTTTAAAGTAAAACTCTTCCAGAGAAGAATCATAAGCTTTCTGAACTCCAACAAAGCCATTCTTCTAAAAGGAGTGTAAGTTCAACTCTATAAAGATTTTAAAAAAGAAAAAAAAATTAAGACTATCAACAATACCTATATTTTACATGAGTAAATTAAATTAATTCCTTAATTTTCTAATCAAGCTTTAAAGATGACAATAAAAAAGAATAAACATTTGAAATATTTGAGTTGTTTATTCCTGTATTTTTAGTTTATTCAACATCTAATGAAGATCCTGATATGTACAAAATATCAAGCATTAAACAAAGATCAGTAATTTGTTGATTCAACTTTCCAGTTCTGGAAGTAACTGGCATTAATAACACTACTAAAGGGAACAGATTTGCAATGGACTTTGGGAGGTGATTAGAATGGGATTTGTACCCTTATAAAAGAAGACTCAGAGAAAGCCTGCATCACTTTCACCCTGTGAGGACATAAAGAAAAGGCAGGTATCTATGAACCAAGAAAGGGGCCTCACAAGGCACTGAATCTGCAGACTTCTTAATCTTGGATGTCCCAGCCTCTGAAACTGTGAGCAATACATTTCTGTTTATAAGCCAAACAGCTTACGTTACTTTCTAACAGCACTCAAATGAACTAAGAGAATATTAATTCTTACGTTTAATGGGAGTTTGCCCAACACTTACTATGTGTTATGTTAGATATAGCTCTATAGTGGGAAACAAGCAGATAAAACCTATCCCTCACATGTGGATGGCATAACCCCTAGATCTGAAATCAGACTGCCTACATCAAAGTCTCAGCTCTACCACTAACAGTGTGATCTGGAATACTTGAATTTAACTCTTAGGACTATGAGGGCAAGTGCTGGAATTAAAGACTAGGAAGGGGAAGCATAAGATTAAGACTTTGGTTTATAAGTAATCTGGAACCTGGAAAAAAATGATCTTCTAGGTATTGCAATCAGTGTCAATTAATCTTGATCCTTACAGGGCCTGGGTGTCGAATGCCTGTAATCTCAGCACTAGCACGGGAGGCCCAGGCAGGAGGATCACTGGGAGTTCACGGCCAGCCTGGGCTACATAGTGAGTTCAAGCCCAGCCTGAACTGCACAGCCAGGCCCTGTCTCAAAAAAAAAACAACTCAATCCTTGATACCAGACAAAGGTGATTCCACATTGCAAATGCCTACTGCTGCAGCTGCTGCCTGCCACAAACAATAAATCTCTGAAGAAAAATATCATGATGCTAAAGTCAACCATTACTACAATCTTTCTGCATATACATAAACATAAATACTACTAGAAAATCTCTACTACTACGTACTTTCTTAAAGCGGATGTTAAGAGCACAAATAATAAGAAAGAGGCCCTATCAAAATCTAACATTCTGCCCATAAAAAATTAAAACCAAGCTAAGTATATGCAGTTACAATCACAATAACAGAGAGGAAGCTGGGCTGATTGCTCCAAGATACCAAGGTCAGTCCCTGCATGACTACAAGAGGTGGTAGGGACACCAACCGTTGGAACGTAACTTAAAGGGAATAGTGAAAGCAGGTATAGAAACAGGAAGCTTTCAGGAAAATCTAAGCCACCCCCTAACCCAGACACCACTCCGCTTCCATGGGAAGAAGCCCACGCTGGTGGTTGTGCTTGGAGTTCACCCCAGCCACCATCCCCGCCAGCTCCCCAATCTCCTGCGCCAACAGACCCAGAGAGGAAGACAGCAGATCAGCGCCTCCCCATTCACCAGTGCCCTCGAGCTGTGGCCCAGACTGGAACCCGGAGGGCTGCAGCGGCTGGAAGTGGTGACAGCCGGGGGCAGATGAACCAGACAGCCCACACTCCAGCTTTTCCTCCCAAGCACTGGGCTCTCTCTGAGGGAACCGAAGGCAGGCCAGAGAGAGCCTCAGGGAACTGAGGGAGGGCTGCAGGTGGTGCGAAAGGAAGGGGAGCGCTGAGAGACTGATCAGACTGATCCACATTCATGGCTTGGGCTGTGAGCCTCCCCACCACACCGAGAACAGAGAGAAACTTGAAGGTCTGCAGCTGCTGGGGCCCGCCGGTGGAGAGAAATAGCTGTGGGCCAGCCTCCTCCTCAACCCTAAACGCCATGAAATCACAGGGTCTGGGTGTGCTGAGACGAAACCAGAGCCTAGAGTTGAGACCCAGAGAGGATGGGGTGGACTATCTCTTGTCTCTCTCACCTCCCATTTATATTCCCTCTCTTTTTACTTTCTTTTTGTGACCAGGGATTGAACTGCAGACCTTTGGCTTACCAGGCAGTCGGTGGCACCACTGAGCTAAATCCCCAGACTCTTTTTACTTTCTTAACTTCCCTCTTTCTACTACTTCCTCTTTTCAATTTTCTTTTTTTTAATTAAATTTTTATATTTTTTCCTTTTTTCTAATTTTCTATTCCTTCTGCTACGTACTCTTGGAAATATTTTAAATATCATTTATGCTTATTTTTTCCTAGCCTACTATATTATTCTTTGTCTTTTTTTGAGTTAGTGACATTTTGGGTTTTTTTTTGAGAGAGGATCTTGGTATGAAGTTTGGTCTGAACTTAAACTCACTATGCAAGGCTGCCTCAAATGATGAACAGCTGCTTTTCGTAAGGAAGGTGGAATTTTGGTACATGATAGGAAAAGAGCCCCTATTTGACAAATCCCTACCTAATCAGAGACTTGGGTGCTGAGACTCTAATGGAGCCAGGTAGAAACATTGCACAAACTTCATACTTACTGCTGAGAAAAGACTGTGACCCCTATTGGGAAGTAAATAATATAAAGACAGTTGTGTATGAGTTGCCATAGATTTTGTTTTTCCTTTTGATTCAGCTGTATGTTCTTCCTACATCAATGTAATAAAGCTTAACCATGAGTATAACCATGAGTCCTGTTAGTCCTTCTAACAAATCTTCAAAACTGGAGGCAGTCGGGGATTCTTTAACTCAGGCAGGACAGGACTTTCTGGGATGATGGTAATGTTTGTGTTTTGTTATGCATTTGTTAATATAGATCAAGTACACTTAATATCTCAGGATTTCACTATATATAAATGATGATTCAAAGAAGGCTGAAAAAATTTTTTCAAATGCCAAGTTATAACACACAAGTATTACAAGCAATAAAGAGCAGATGCAATAGAGTTCAGGACCAAAGGAAAAGAAGAGGACTTCATATTGCACACATCCACAATTTACAATAAATATATAACAATTATATCTATGTTCCCAATAATACCCAAAACCCACCTACAGGAGATACCAAGAAAAAGGTACTTAAAACAATTATATCAGCACACTGATAATAAGAGAATTAAACAGGGCAGTCCAAGAAAAGCAACACAGACAAAACCATAAGGGTATATATTAGACTTACTGAATAAAACATAAATTATAGGGTACATTAAACAGTGATTAAAGGGGACCTAAATGTTCATAGTAACAAAAAATATATATATATAAAGTATAAAAATACACTATTGTAGGGCCCAGAGTTTGGAGTATGTTTTCTCAAAACTTCACTAACAATGTTGTAAGGCTTTTGAAATTCTGCAAATCAAAGTAATGGTATCTCAGTTTTAATTGCCATTTATCCTACTGTTAGTATTTCTCTTTACCTTTAAAAATACCTTTAAGGGGCATTTTTCTTTGAATCTTGTTTCCTTCCATTTTTCTAGTAGTTGTTTCTCCTTCCCTCCAATTTATAGAATTCTTTATCTTTGTGATACCTTATTCTCCCAATTAGTCATGTCTTTTGATTTTTCATATTTGTTCATATGTTATCATATGTTCACTGTGAGTAGATTTTGACAGATTTTTTCCCACTCTCATAATTTGTATTTTTCCAACTGCTTATTTGTTCCAACACCATTTATTAAAAAGTGTAGTTTCTGCTCAGTAGGTTGGGATGTTACTCATGTTATAGATGAAATTTCTATATATACTTTGGCTTCTCAATTTTCTATTTCATTCCATTTGTCTGTCTTTCAATTCAGGCGCTAATGCCATATATTTTTTAACTACAGAGACATTATGGTATGCTTTACTATCTGGTAGAGTTTGCCTTTATCTCAGGAAACTTACCTTCAGTGTTTTCCCAGTTATTTTTTATGCTTATTGTTTCACACAAACTTATTTTTATTGGAATAGCATAAGCATATGCTAAAAGAAGAAAATTGGCATTTTTATGACGATAGGTCATTCTATTCAAGAACAAGGGACGTTTTTCCATTGTTCAGATCTGTTTCTTAATCTTAGAAGAGGGCCTTAAAGTTTTTATGTAAACTTTGTATATTTTTGCTACATTATTTATAAGTATTTTGGCTTTTCGCTACTATTGTAGTCTCTTTTCTACTGGGTTATGGCGTGTATGTGTGCAAAAGCTATAGATTTTTATATTAACTTTGTATGCTCTACCATCTTGAAGCTTTTGTGTTGGTTTCAGTATCGATTCTCTTGAGTTAAGTATTTATGTCTACAGACAGAGATAGGTTTATTCTTGTTTTCCCTTGGCTGATTCCACTGGCTAAATCCCCAATACAGCGCTGAGGTGTAATGGGTATCGTCCTCATTACTAGCTCTACAATGAAGTGTAAAGACAAACTGAACTACCTATATATAGCACTTAACTTTCACATCCTTTTTGCCATTTATTGACCATTTACTATATCCCAGCATTTTAAATATCATCATAACCACCCTGAGTTGGGTATCGGTATCCTTTTTCCTAGAAGATGAGGAAACTGATGCTTATACAAATCCAGCAATTTATCTCAAGTCAGAAGAAACACATTTTGAACTGGTCAGGAACAAGACATTTGCCTCTAAAACCACTGTGATTGAATACTACACACTCAAAATAAGACTCCTGAGTGTCTGATTTATTTCGGCTGTCTGGGTGGTGGTGGTTTGTCTGGGCTAAGCCCTGCTTTGCGTTTCTGTGTCCGTGCTGGCTGTGGGGAAACAGGCTAATTTCCCTGGAGCTAGGAGACAGCCCGGCCTCTCCAGCCCCCGAGCAGGCGCAGACCCGTCCGGCAGGCTGGGCGCTAACCGAGCAGGCTGCCTGGTATCGCGACCCTCACCCGACGAGGAACCCCGAGGGGATGGTGCGGCCGAGACCCACACAGACGGGACGCGCAGATGGGAGCGACGCCAGTCCGTGGCTGCGTAGACCAGAGCCCGTGGGGACCGCGCTCCCAAACCCTCGCTTTTCTCTACGCGACGGCCGAAACCGAGGGTCAGGGGCACCGGCCCACCGCCCGTTCCGTTCTGTGAGTGGAGTAGGGGATCCGACGCCTCCGGCCAGGGCGCGGATGAGGGCGTGTAGGGCGTCGGGGAGCAACGGCGGGGCGGGGCGGCGCGGCGGGACACTCACCACTCAGACCGCCGCTCCGCTGTTCAGGGTGCGCGCTTCACGGCCGGCGCCGCCTCCCAACGGCCCACAACCGCTCCGCGTGCAGCCGCCGCGGGCAGGGCCGTGGCCGGGGCCTCGTGGGCTGGCTCCGCTGGGGCGGGGCGGGCCGGGGCACGTGCGGGGGCGGAGCCGAGGCGCTTTGCTACAAAAGAAGGACCCTACGGGTGCCTTCAAGGTACAGGCCGACTTGGTCTCAGTCCTTTCCCCGCCGAGAGCCCACTACCCGAAACCCAGCCTGCTCCCGCTATTCTCTGCAGCCCAGTGCGCCGCTTGCTCTCCCCTCTCGAAAACACCATCCTTTCCCTCTCTGCGCCTAGTGCACTGAGCTCCGCCTGGACACCCTTCGCTCGTTCCCCAGGTCCTTCACCCTCGCGTCGCCTCCTCTGTGGTCGCTTCCTCCGGACCTCCGCTCCCTCGCGCGTCAGGTTCTCCCTGAGCGGATGTAGACGCAGGCGGCAGGGAGCCTGAGGGGATTCAATGGCTGCCCCCTTCCAGGGTGTATGGGGTTAGAGAACTTCCAGAGGCACGCGCGCAGGGTTCTGTAAACCCCTCATGCGAACCACCCGGAGGCGCCCGTCGTGGGGCAACCCAGCACGTGCACTGTGCTCTCGTCCCTTCCCCAGCCTGCGCCGCCTTGGCGCTGCTTCAGCCCTGGACTCTCAGCGCGCGAGACTCCGCACCTGCTTCGTCTCGCCCCGGCCCACTGCCCTGACCCGCCCGTTACCCAGTTGACTTCACCTCACACATTTCTCAAGCTCCCCAAGTTCACTAGGGCTCGCTTCTCTTGGTCGACCCCATCCCAGTACCCATCTCCCGTGTAGCTTAATGGTTAGAACCACAGGTTCTGGGTTCTGACTATCAGAGGGCAAATTCGCCCACCCCTGCTCTGCCAAGTAGCGATGTATTACTGCTCAGTGCCAAACGGTTTTGAACCGACCTGAGGTGAAGCTTTGTCAGGAGAGGGCACTGGAGGGCTAGGAGCTTCTCTTTCTAGGGAGGCGTTTTCTCTTTGGGTTATTCTGGCTCCTACTACAGCATAGGTGTGGCTATTCCGTGGCCCTCGCCCCCCATTAAATGAGGTTGCCAGTGAGGTACGCAGAAGTGTTTCCTGCTTGCCAGATCCAACAGGTGTTCTCATTTGGCAATAGGGAGGTGTTTGCAAGTTGGCTTCTTCCTTGAGTACTTTCTTTCAGCCGCAGAGTAGGTTATTCCTGAGAATAGTCTCAATAAGAGCACCTACTTATTAAGATAATCCCATTATGGTTAATAATTTTTAAACTTAACCTTTTCAAGTTGCTTTGTGGTTTCCTGTCTCCTGATAGGGACATTGACTTGCATACCAGCTTACCTGGTCAAATCCCTTAAATCCTCTGAGTCTCCCAAGGACAATGAAGGTAATAGCACCAATGTTCCTATGAGGGTTGTAGTAGGATTAAACGATGCAGTGCATTTGACGTGGTTAGTAGAAGACCTGACTCTTGCTGAGAGGTGAAAAGGTAGATGGAAGGTAGGAAGGGATCGTGAAAGAGATTACTAAAAGAATTTTAAAGACGGTCATCAGTGAAGTCAACTGGGAAACTTTTACAGACACACTCCTGGGAAAGTTAGGGGCACAGATAGTATGGTAGAGGCCCAGAACTATATGCAAGCTAGAGCTAAATAAAATACCCACCCTTAAAGATGGGCAGCCTGGAAATAAGTTTTGTAAATACTGAAATCAGTTTCCAGAGATCTGTGACAGGTACGGGGATAGCAGCCAAAGAGAATTATACTATAGTTAAAAGTAACAGAACAGAGAATAACTTTTGGACATCACTTTATTACTCAGATATTGAATTGAGAATACAGAAACCTTGAAGAAATCACCCCAATATAAAGCAGCTTTTTTTGGTTCTGCTGCCTGCTTTGCAAGCTCAAGGTCCTAAGTTCGAGCCCCAGTACCAAAAAAAAGAAAGCAGCTTTATAGCCTCTTAATTTGGTTATTCAATCATGCCCATCCTAATTGTCTGCTTATCTGACCCTAAATCCTGTACAGGAGTTAAATTTCTCATGTTGCTGTAGGGGACTCCATCTGTTCCAATAAGAATCAGAATAAAAGGTCCCTGTTTCCCGTCTTTCCGACTTCATTTTTCTTTCCTTCTTAAAGATGGCAAGGAAAAAAACATGCTATTTTAAAAGAATAGTCTTTAATTTTGTTCTTGGACTCTAAATCTTCTAGGTCAAAGATTATCTTACAAATGTAGACTCTTGATATGAGGGATATATATGGGGAGGGAACCCAGTCAGAAAGACTAAAAAGTAGGTGATGATGAGTAATGGTTCTCATTCTGGATCAGCAGTGACAAGACCTTAGCTATAGTATCTTTAAAAATAATTACTAGGTCTAATAGTATCTCTTTGTTGTTGGGCCTTGCTATTCTCTGGAAATGATGAGCATCTTTTCCTACACTTGCTCCTAGTTGTTATCATTTGTTTACTGAAATGACTTTGTCCAAGTTTTATAGAAGAGCCAACTTCTTTTGAAAATTATTATCTTAGCTATTTTCTCATTGCTGGAACAAAATGCCTAACATCCACAAATTAAGGAAAGAGAGGTTTATTTGGGCTCATAGTTTATAGAAGCTTCAGTCCATAGTCAGCTAGGTCTAAGGCAGAGCAGCATGGCAGAGGAGCATGGCAGAGGAGAAAGAGCTCATGACATGGCAGCAGGAAACAGAGAGAGAGAGATCAAGGAGGAGGGAGGGAAATAGACCATGCCAGGCCACGCCCCCAGTAATCCACCTCCTCCAACCAGGCTTCACCTCCCAACATCACATTTAGCTATAAATTTATCAGTAGATTAACCCACTGATGAGTATCTCACACCCATGATTCAATCACCTCCCCAAAGCCCCATCAATTAGCACATGAGGCTTTGGTGGGACATCTAGATATGAACTATAACATCCCATCCCTGGCCCCCAAAATCTCATGCATAGTCTTTTAAACAAAATGTGTTTAGTCCATCTCTAAGGGTTGCCAAAGTCCCAACAGTCTCAATATTGCTGAAAATCTCAGTCCAAAGTCTTCTCTGAGATTTGAAACAAACTCTTTATCTGTGAGCCCCTGTAAAAATGAAAAGAAAATTAAACACTTCCAACATACAATGGCATAGGATAAACATTCCTATTCCAAAAGGTAAAAATAGAGGGATAGAAAGGAATGGGGCCTCAATGTGCATCCATTAATGGTAATCTTTTCAGTAACCAAGATCTCTGTTACATCTTTGCAGATCCCAACTTTATCAGTGCTTCTTTTCTGGCCAAACTCAGTACTTTTTAAATCATTCACCTGGGGCACTTGTCCTCCATTCTCAAGGTAGAGCTGGCTAAAAGCTCCCAACAGTAGCCATTCCACTGCATCAACATTAGGCTGCCTTGAAATTTCTTCTACAGATTAATTAGTCTGCCACCCTTAATCTCAGTCTTCTGCAGTTTCTGGATATGAGCAAAATGCAGACACACTTTTTGCTAGAAAATAATACACATGGCTGGAAGTCTAGTGCAGTCCTTCTTCCCAAGTAAAACCTCTCAAATCTGGTCTTTACCAGCTGCATTATTGTCAACATTCTGGTCTGAGATCTGACCAGAATCTCCCGTTAAGCTGAGCTCACAGCCTTCTAAGCCTGCTTCTTCTGCTAGCATCTCCAAACTGTTCCAGACTCCTCCTACAAGCCAGTTTCAAAGGCTTCTGAATCACATGGTCAGGTAGCATCACAGCAATTACCTCACTTCTGGTAACAAAATCTATTTTAGTTACTTTCTTCCTGCTGGGACAAAATACCTGACACCCACAACTTCAGGAAATAGAGGTTTATTTTGACTCAGATTGTAGATGTTTCAGTCCCAAGTCAGAAGGCTCAAAGGCAGGGCAGCATGGCGGAGGGAGATGGCAGAGGAGAAGTACTCATGGCATGGTAGCTGGAAACAGAGAGCTCAATGAAAAGGGAGGGAACTAGATCCTGTCAGGCCATGCCCCCAGTGACCCACTTCCTCCAACCATGCTTCACCTCCTAATATCACATTTCTGTCCCTGCTGCTTCCCTGGATGGCTGGGCACCTCACTTTGGGGCTTTGGGTTCTAGGAAGCGGGGACTGCAGAATCATTCTACTTGGTAGCCAGGAAGGGCCCAGGGTACTCAGGACACCTAATGCATCTTTGAGGAAACTTTGGTGAGTCTTTGGATGCTGATCATGGGGAGGGCACATGTGGAAGGCACTGGGGGAGTTTCAGGGCTTCAGAGCTGGCCTCATGGGCTGGGGGAAGAGGAGGCAGGCAGGAGCTGAGTGACCTTTATGGGCTTGCTTTGTCTATTATTTCATCAGTATTATTTCATTACTATTATTTTGTATTTCATCAGTATTTTTCTTTAAATCAATGTCTGCTATTTAAGTTAATTTTGAAAGCAAACAAATCTTATAACACACATAAGCCAGGCACAGTGGTGCTCACCTATAATTCCAGCATTCTAGGAGGCTGAGGCAGGAGCACAAGTCTGGGCCCGATTTGGCCAGTTTAGCGACTTAGCAAGATCCTGCCTTAAAATTAAAAGGAGGGGGTGAGGCTGGAACATAGTTCAGTGTGGGTTTAATCCCTAGTACTGCAAAACAAAACAAAACACATACATGAAGAAATAAAGAACAGTAGCGAAGGTTTTATAGAAAAAATGTCAGAATTAATGGTCTGTAATGCATTTTCCTATAGTATTTTTAAAAATTGTATAAAAACTATGAATCAGTGCTGATTTAACAAACAAAGTGTGTGTGTGTGTGTGTGTGTGTGTGTGTATATATATAAAATGTATAAAGATGTGATAACTATAACAACCCTGGAGGGGAACAGAGGTGTAGAGTGGCAGATTTTTTTGTATACTATGGGAATTACATTGGCACTAATTAAAACTAGATTATTATAAATTAAGATGTTAGTTGTAATTCACTGAAAAGCCAATAAAAATTACATAAAAGTACTGTAGAAGAAACAAAATTGGGTGTGTCTCCAACGCGAGCAAGACGCGAGCCCATGCTGGATGCATAGCACCCCCTTGACACAAGCGAGCAGGCCTGTGCAAGGTCATCCCTAACACGAGGGCACAACTACCATCAATTCTAACCTGGCTCTACATTTTGCTTCCCCTTGGCATAGGGCGGCAGAGGTAAGAACCTGATCCTGTATGAAGACGATGCCTGGGGAGAGAAGGGAGCACCTCCCATGACTGTTAATATTAAATCTGACAGTCCACTTGAATCCTCACCCTGTGGCCCACATCTAGCAGAGACCAGAAGGGCAATAGCCTTTCCCATCTACCAATGGGAGCAAGGATACATCTCAGCTTGGACAGTAACCACAGTCTGGGGTGAATGGACAGAGGGGCCACTGGTGCAAGGAGGGTACCTCAAAAACCCATAGACTGTAAAGCTAGGTGGAGAAAATTGTGACTGACTGGATCTCAAGACTGGATATCTTGGGAATAAACCACTCATTCAGGATTTTTTTCTTTGACTCAATCTTTTTTTGACTTACCTATTTTAAAAATTATTTTTATCTTTCATCCATCAGGTTTAGGGGGAGCTTGGAGTTTTTCTGCCTTTTTTCCTCTTTTACTTTCTTTCCTTTTCTCTTTTCCTCTTTCAATTTTTTCTCTTCCTTTTTATCCTTCTTTTATTTCCTGTATTTTGCTCTCTGCTTATCTTTCTTTGT